TAGTAGTAGTATAGTAGCTCTCGACAAGAGCACAGACACACACACACGCGCGCACGTCGCGCGCGGCACCACCTCCCGTCGTCACACACCGCCGCCGCGCGGTTCTCTTAGGTGTACTTTCGTACGCCTCGCAAACGTCTTCGTCGTTCAGTCGGTCGGTCGCGCGTACACGACGTTCGATCAGCTGTTCCGCTCCCGGGGAGCCACGAAAAGATCGTCTTCGACCGGCTTCCCGCCATTCGCCCGGCGGAATTTTACCGACGAGGAGAGAACTTGTCGTCACACCCCGGGGTGTGTGAAGAAATCGCGAATCTGATCTCAATCGCGATGAAGAGTACCGCGTTTCGATGAGAAACAAAAATCGAAAAGTTTTCCCCCGTTCGTGAGAAACGATCGGCGTGAGAGAGGATTGAACGAACGATGTCCGACGAAAGAATCAAAACAACGTCGTTGCGAACTTGTGCAAAAACAACGGAAAGTGTCTGAATGAAGTGTCCGAAGATTCTCGATTTCTCGCACTCGATTTATCTTCGACTGATCGCGCGCGATCGAAAATCGTCTGTTCACAGAAAAGATATGCGGGATCGGTTTCAGTGCTCCGTCACGTTTCGCGTGTACGAAGCGTACGTAGTTTTTTTTTTCTTCTTAACCGTTCGCGTCTTTTTCTCACGCGTGTGACTCGATGTATCCGCCTCGACTCAGTGGTGCACAGTGTATTCGTATTTGCGCGACGGCCGGCGTGGAAGCAGGTGCATCACGGAATGCTCGACGATCTCGATCCCGGACCGATCTCGGTTTTCGTTTACGTCGTACCGTCGTAGGATCCGAGTGGCCGCCAAAGTGGTTTTTTCACAGTGACGCGAGTTTTCCGGGAGCGAGTGCCGCTCACGTGCTGCCGCCGCCGCCGCTTCGTCTTTAGCGAAGTTTTTCCGGAAGCGCCAGCAAGCTGGAGGTCTTGGGGATGTTTCCCCCGCGTACAGAAGCGCCCACGGCGGACAAGTTGACGCTCTGTTACGCGCCCCACGTTGACATGGGCGCAGTCATGGAGATAGAGGTGCGATTTTACACTCGGATACAGTCGTGTTATCTCTGTTGTGTTTTTTTTGTTTCTAGTCAACGATAAAAAAAAAAAAAATCGCGTTAAAAGTCGTGCGACAGAAAAATCGAACGTGGAATTTTTACTTCGCGGTGAGATTCAACCAAAGTTTTCGCCCTTTGACCGCAAAAATTCCTTTTTCCTCTTGTTCATAAAAAAGAAGTTTTGTATTTTTCCAAAGAGACTTTTCACACGTCCTCGGTCGAGAAGAGAATCTTCAGATCTCGCCGATTTCCGCGAGTCAATCGGCGGTGCGAAAAAACGTTTCGACGCGAGTTGGCGAACGCCGCGTGTATACTCGCTCGAAATATCGGTCAAAGTGCGTTTAAATGTATGCGGCAATTACCTCCTCGCTTAGCGTAGCAATGACGCGCGCGGCAGTTACGCATTTTTAATTGTACGCGCGTTCAACGTTAATGGATACCCTGTCAAACTTCAGCTGATATTAATGCAAAGTTAGCGGCGATTATTGTGTGCTCTTTCTCGGGGGCATTTCGCCGTTAATTTCTTCTCCTCCCTCTAACCGTTCGCTCCCGCGGAGATGAAATCATTTACATAAAATTCTCACGAATATATCTTCGTGACACAATTAATTCGCGCGCGGAGTAAAAATCCGCCTCGTGTGCGCGCATTTTTCCAAGAACCACGCGAGGTGCGTTACACTGCAACGCGGTGTTTGCGTACTTTGTTTTTTTTTCTTTTTCTTTCCTTACGCGAATGTAATTCGCACCTACCTATCTACCTACCTACGTGTGTCACCGCACGTGTGCAGTCTCACCGAGATTCGAGCGCAATCGACACGCGAAGACGCGTATGCTAATATCGTCTTTCTTTCAAATTCGCTGTGTCAACACAGCGAAGCCTCTCAAACACGGAAAATCTCGCTTAGATCTAACTGCTTATCGTCGCGTCGAAGTGTAACTTTTTTTTTGTTTTAACGACGTAACGTTCCGTTCGACGTGAAACGACGACGCCGCGACGACGAACACCGTTTCGCTGTTAAATGTAAATTTTATATCTCTAATCCACCCGGTGAAACCGGGAGTATCAATCGGAAATTTTATAGACGAAATCCAATCCCTCGATCGTTCGTCTCTCGATTGTATACGCGTGAAAAGAAAAAAAAATTTCTAGAAAACACGTGTATTTTATTGCTGTTTTTTTTTCTTTTTGGTACCGCTACATTTGATAATACGACGCTATAAAAATCCGAACGTTGCTCGAAGAATGTGTGACAGGAGGACATTTAAAGAAACGCGTACGTTTTTTCTCGCACTCCGTAAATCAGAGTCTTCCTAATTATTTTAATCGTCGAACGACGGTTTTTTCTCGTCGTGCGTCGTCTAAAAACTGTAAGGCCTATATCGATTTTTAATTGTACACTCTCGCGTCTCTCTCGTTTGTATGCGCGCGTGTGTTTCAACGCGCGCTTTCTCCTCAATCTTATCATCGGTGATCTCAGCAGGAAAGTTCGGTCGTCCTCCTCCGTGGAAGGAGGGAGAGGCTGCCGCTTTTGCGGATTGTTCCGGCTTGAAGAAAAAAAACAAAAAACAAATCTCGTTACCGATACATCAATCGTCGCGCGTAGAATTTCCGTGTCATGCTCTCACGTACGTCGATCGATTTCTCCACCGACAACACAAGAGCGTTGCACGTTTGATATCGAGTTTATTTGGCAACGATCGCGGCAGAAGTGCTTGTGGGCGTCAAGAAAGTCATCGTCGTGTTTCGGCAACGCGGCGAATTGTGTGACTCGATTAAACGCGAGGAACGAGTGCAAGACAAACACGCGAGCGCGTTATATTTAAAGTAAACCTTTCTCGAATTTGACAGGTGACAAGAGCGAAACACGAGTGCTTTATTCTCACTTGCTTGTGCATCAGTGAGAGGCGCGCAGTTTTAGAGAAAATCGGATCTTTTCCTCCGAGAAAAGAAAAATCGGCGGAAAATATTTGCCGTGAAAATCGGCGTGAAATTCGCTTGACGTACGAATTAGCCTTCGACATTTTTCCACAATGTTATCGCTTCCTGGTCATTAAGCTTCCATTTACTTCTGAGTTGGCCGTGATGACAGGAGATAATCGACAACATTGACTTTCGATTAAGTAATTGCTTCGTTTTTTTTTAGAAATACTTGAAAAGGTGACAGAAATTCGAAACTAATTTATATCTAATTGCATATCGATTGTTTTGAACAATCGCGTCCCTCAGCTTTGTTTTTTTATGTCAAGAAACTGGTCAATAAATTTATTAAAAATAAAATTCAGAACTTTAATTGTTTTACAACCGTTCGTATATCGGCCGCAATCGCGTTCCTCGGCTTTCGCGTGCGATAAAATTCGCGAGAAACACGCGGTTTTCGCAAACATCCCGCGCCAACATCCACGACCCCCCCTTAGGCGAGCATTCATCTGGCGCGATAGTATTTAAAGGTCAATCGCGGAAGAGACGGGCGAGTGCCGATCATCCTCGATCGATTCCCGAGGAATCCGCGCAGAGGAGGAGGCGCTCGCGCGCGTCTCCTTGCTGGCGACAAATTCGCAGGAATTCGACGCCGCACGCGTCTTCGAGAAATAAAAAACGCGCGCAAAAACGTCTCGGAAAACCTAGCGGTTGGGTCCTCTCGCGAGCTTATAGAGACATTCGAGATCGTATCGCGAGCGAGCGAGCGAACGAGAGACCTAATGGCTTGGACGCCACGGCGAGATGCGCCGCGCCGCAAAAGCCGCTTTCCACCGATACGTCCAGATACATGTCGTATGATACGATCTACGTGAGTAATACCGTGCAATCGAGAACCCGCATCGCGAAGATTACGCGGACCAGATTATAAGCGGTATTTATCGCGCGGGCGCGCGTCAGAGGTGTCGATAGCTCTCGACTCCGGCAAATCGAGATTCATGGATCTCTCGCGCATAAAACTCGAGATGAATGTCTGTTTGATTGTTGTTGTGAGGAGCAAATAAAATAAAATATTGTGCAAATATCACGACATTACAAATATGCCGCGTTAAATATATTCTGCGATCAGCAAAAGGATAGAGTTACACCATAGAAGTTTCTTAACCCAGATATCGTCCACGGAAGTGCCGTACGTAGCGCACGTAAATTTAACTGGAGAGGAGAGGAGGGAAATTTCCGCGTTTTACCGCGCGTGTCCGTTACGTTCCACCGTGTAATTTCGGTCCGCTCTTCGCGAGCGACTGATGCACGTCGCTTAACCTTCGGGAGATGCGCAACGGCGCGTCGTATTCGTGTGACGTATTTCTCTCTTATCTCAGACGGATCGTCAGATATGCACGACGTTTACTCGCACAGAGTCTGTAATTACCGCCGCACGGAGGAGCGAAATCCTCGTCTAATCGCGGCGACTGTATACACGAAGAAGGCTCGTAAGTAAGTGGAAAGAGATTTAACGTTTCTTGTGTCTTACAAGCGGAGAGTTAATTGATTAACCTCTCGAGCTTTTCTCTAGTAGCGAAATCTCTTTAACAACCCTTTACTTTAATTTACTCGCGAAGAAGAAGAAGAAGAAGAAGAAGACGAAGAACGAGGAGAGGAGCTTTTCATCTCTCGCCGAAGTATCTTCCGCGATAGATGAGACACTCTCGTACAAATAAGTGTGTAAATATCGCCTTAACCCCTCGGAGGAGAACCCTTTCGAAGGACTGTGGCTGGATCGCTTCTGACTTGTGTTTCACTGAATAATCGAAAAGTCGCTTTGCGTTACGCAAATATAACGAGTACCGAGTATTAAAATATATTTTATTGTTATTCAAATACATTTAGTTATAAATTTATAACAAATGTCCATCGTGTCTCGAGTGACCCAGCCATCGAAGGGTTAATCTGTCTACTCGAATAAATAAATAACGACGCATCCCTCTCGTTTTTTTGTTCGCAGGACCGCTTGACTGGTCATGGGGGCATTTCCTCGCTTGGCGGCGGGAACTCGTCGCCTTACTCCGGTGCCCATCACCACGGACACCGGGGAAACGGGAACGGGGGCGGCATGCCCCACCACGGGAGCGCCTCCTTGCCGACGGCCTCCGACTTTCAACCCCCTTACTTCCCGCCCCCGTTTCCCTCGCATCACCACACACCCGCCAGTCCCCAGCATCCCGGTCTCGGCCAACCGCAACACCTGGATTACCTCGTTTCCGATCCCTACACGCAAACGCTCAACACGCTGCATCAGCACCACTACAATCACCTGAGCGCCGCCGTAACCGCGGGACAGAGGAGCGGCGATCTCAGGAGAGATGCCGAGGGGATTCACGTGGTAAGAATGAGCTGAAATAAACGCCGATATGCATGAAAAGACGAGGCAGAAAATTATGCAAATATCTCGCGCAATTTCTGTCTCTCGTAATTTGTAAGCGGATGCGTCGCGTGCAGTAATACGTTTCAAGTGTTAATACGCGCGTCATGCGATGTGTTGACGGAATGGGGATAGAGGTGGGGAATTTTGCGTCTGGCGATACGGTCACGCCTGTCTTCGATCTTTTATTATTTCTTTTCGGACATTTATTCGGCTTATCATCAAAGCTTTTGAGCGAAAGAAGAACGCGATCGTGTCTTTTTAACAAACGCGGCGTGCAATCTCACAGATCGCCCCGCCACCCCTCCCCCCGGATGACGGTCGCGGAAGCGCGTGGAAATCGTAACCGCTCCGCTCGGACGGAGCGTGTATTCGCGGGACATAAACACGCGGGAGAGATCCGGTCACGTGCGTCGGTCCGGTCGGCCTCACTTAGCAAACCGGCCGGCGTGTTATTTGTAGGACGCCGCGTACCGAGCTGAATGTAATAACAGGTGATATCGATCTATTAGACGAGTCGCGGCCAATAAGTTCGTCCCGTGACATCGGTGATTGCGGATCGTTGATCTCTGGCGCGGGGACGACTCCGCGACATTTGCATTCGCCACGGAGTCGTTCGCGCGTGTAATGCGCATCCGTACGTGGAGACGCGAATCGAGCGAACTCCTCCCGACTTCGAGGGCTGGGGCTCCGTCTTCGAGGAATCTGTCACGTTTTTCGTGAACCTTGTGAGAGAACAGTTTTTTCGGCGTGTCTCTGTTTTCAAATATCACTCGAATGTAAATTTAATACATTCTCTGATTAAATTTAAAAAAAAATAACAATAAAGAAATAGTGAATTTATTATTAATGTGTTTGACGCGGAAAAATAAATTTTATCTGTTTCATAAATGTTTTTGAGAAAATTTTTTCTCTGATTAAATTTAGCAAATAAATAAATTGTACTATTAATGTTTCACATCGAAAAACGACAATTTTATTACGGAGAAAGAAAATAACGTCGCAAACAAACCGGTTGCAATTGTAAGATCGATTTTACACACTGTGTTTGATCTCACGTTACCGTGTACGCAAATGTTGGGTGAGATCGGCTTTATAGAATCCTAATAATCGCTGTAATAATAGTGTTTGCGGTCCACCTTGCACACTTGGCATTCACGAATTCCCGCCACCCTAATTACCGCGTCGACACACGTTCGCACCGCTTACCAAACGTTCGTTTCTATGCGCGGATTACATTCGGACGATGTTTTACAAAGGTGTCGTGTGACGTGCGCGAAGAGGAAAAAAAGAAGAAATACATTCGACGAAATTCGATACGCGCGTTGTATGTGCGTGCGTTCGACGAATGCGTTCTCTTGCCGCTCTCGTTCGGGCTGCCGCGTTCGTTTTGCACACCTCGGAGTTTTGAGAGAACGGAGCCGGCGGTTTGTCGTCGGGAGGAGGAGGGAGGGAGCATCTGTCCGACGCCATATGCAAGGCTCTCGAGTTGCCGGCGTTTTTTCGAAGACTGGTGATTATTTGCTGTCCGTGTGATTAAGGCGCACACGATATCGTTTCCATTTTGCCATACGCGCTTACGTGCAATTTCACGTTTGTTTTGTTTTGTTGCAAACTTTGCAAAAAGTTTGCGCGCGGCATACTTTTTCCGCCCTGAAAAAATGATTGACGTTTAAGTACACACAATTAATGCGCATAATTTATTACATATGTAAATTTACTTGTACTTACGTTTGTGTGAAAAGTTGAAATTTACAAAAGAGTCAATTCGTTAATATTATCGCGCGCGCGATGCGAAACGACTTCGGGGAAACTCTTCCGCTCTCCCGCGATCCAAAAGTACGTTATCGATTATCCCGAACATCCCCCTCGGTGTTATTTCTTTGCAGCCGGCGGGCTCTCCTCTCTCTCTCTCTCGAGAGAGAGAGAGAAGGGTGGGTTGTATCTTCGAGTTTAATGAAATCTTGCCGCGAGCGCGCGCGCACAATTTTTACATCCAATTGCAATTTCGTAAACGTTACATATTCCTTCTCGTCAAAACGAGTCTTTTATAAAAAAAAATAAGTCACGGCGTATAAGTTTATATCGCTAGGTGTTATCGCGATTACCCTCGATAAGCGTGCGCGCGCACGCTCTCTCTCTCGAATACTCAGAGGATTGGCGAAGTTTCGTCGAAACGATGAAACTGTCCAGATAAACGTAACGCTCATCGCGACAGCAGATAGAGACGACAATAATAAATAGCGAGCGCGGGGAATCTAAGCGCGCGGGTTTAACGACGAGGGAGGAGAGAATGCGCGAGAAGAGAGAGAGAGAGAGGAGAGATCCACACGGAGGTTTTACTTCACATCCCGGTCGTAAGGACGTGACTTTCGGATCCGCTCGGAGGCAAAGACGCTCGGGTTATTCCGCGGGACGAAGTCTTGAAGCTCCGGCAAACTGCACGCCTTCGCATAGTTCGCCATAGTTAAGGAAACTTGAGCGTTTAGGGTGTTAGACGACGCGTCGTCGTCGTCGTCGTCTTCTGTGCGTCTTTGGGAGGAGGGAAGAGTGTCTGTCGTTCTCGGTCGTCGTTAATGCCGGTAACCGGATCGACATGGGGGGAGGGAGGGAAAGAGAGAGAGAACCGTGCGACAATTTGACGGACGAAATTTCCGCGCGCCGCTATAATCGCGACCATAATATACACCGTGGCTGGTGTGTACGGAGCGCGCGATTATCTCTCGGTTTGACTTGCGCCGTATAATAGCGTCCCATTAGGGTCGCTGATTTGATCCCGTCACGCGATTACCCGATTTAATGAACAGTCGTAATTAGATGCAAATGGGGGATGGCGATGCAACCGCGATGTGCAAGCTCGCGCTCGTTATGGCACTTTATCGACTTCTTTCTCTCGGGTCTTTGCGTTGTTACAATTTTCAGGTTACTACGTTATTTATTGCGACTAAATTTATTGAGGCGCGCGAACACACGAGTGTGTAATAACGTTAAAATAATAACAACGCGGAGTAATCAACGCGCGAATATATTAATTTTCGAAATACAAGCCTGTTTGCGTTAGCGATATTTCTGTATAATGGGGTTCGGCTATTACCGCGGTTATTTTAAACAATGGCGCGAGGAACAATTTAGCTTCTAGCGTTACCATTGGATTTTAATTAGCGTATATGTATGTTTGTATGTGTTTTTTAGTGGCTGTAATACCGCCGCGTACTTAAGAATAAAAACATTTTTGCAAAATAAACTCCTTCCGCACGGCGCTTCTCTCTCTCTCTCTTCGCTTTTATACCCCGTTAAGTAATTTACTTATTAAATTTTAGGCTGACCTTCGGCATTCCCTCGGTAGGATGCCACGGACGTTTGCTTTGAGGCAAATATGCCAAGCTTAGCGCGATGCCTAAGACGATGCTTCGAAGTTACCCTTAAAGGTTGCGGCAAACTCGCGTCTTGCGTTATTAGAACAAAAATCGTCCTTTATGTATTACAATATATACCGCGCCGAAATCTCTGCCGCGCGGATCTTCCTCTCGCGCGAGTATCGACGAAATTATTCAACACGATTCGCGGACAAGACGTCAAGACCTTCCCGTTCGATCGCTCTGATCTTTGCTCTTGTTCTCTCTGTTGAGAAAAAGAGATTTATTTTTTTCCAATTTTCTAAATTAAAAGAGAAAGGAGATATAAGAAAAAAACGCGTACGAGAAAATATCAAACTTCCGGACGATACTTCCGCGAATTTCTCTAGACCCCTCGTCGTGATGTCGACGGAAACGAGCGCGCTTCTCGAGAGGAGAAGACCACAATGCCAATAATCAACCGAGTGGATCGGCCGATTCCCAATAGCTTTATCCTTGAAAACGCGAAGGCGATGCCTCGTGTCCTCCTCCCCTCGCTGCGTTTCATTGTGTGCGACGATATTCACCACAGGGCGCGCTTCCCCTCCCTTCTCCCCCTCTTCCCTCAGCGTCGTCCTTTATGGCATTTATGCTCCGGAGAATAGCATTTTAGTGACAGAGAGCTTTCTCGACCAAAAGGGGTTTGGATTCGAGAAATCGGCAGTCATTGTTGCGCCTTCGCTGCTGAAGAAGAGTTAAAGAGCGCGCGCGCTGCGCTCTCGATCGTCCACGCGGAACAAAACGAGTCCCGATTAGGATTGCACACGGGGGATTGCGTTTCTGTGATAGAAAAAAAAAATAGACACGAGAACGGATTTCACGCGCTGCGAGCACGACTCGTTACAAAATAGTTTGTTATGTACAAGTTTTTTTTTTTTTTGGTGTTTAGATCGTACGTGCGAGAAATCTCTCATGTGTTCGATTCTCTTTCGGCGTCTGTGAAATCCACACCACGCGAGCACAGAGTCGCATTAAAGCCGATGACTCGTAAAAGAACCGAGTTATTGTCGGAGGAGCACGCGAAGTGACAAAGTCTTTGGAATACATCTGGGGGGGAGGGGAGAGAAGAGGAGAGAGAAACAGTAGAAAATTCATTATTCCAAATATCCGCGACGCGCTTCCGCGGTTTGCGACGTAAAATAACAAATTACGTTTGCGAATCAAAATTCTCGGCACTTGCGCGCAACGAATTACATAATGAGAGTTATATCGCCGCGCGCAAGAATGTGCAGTGTTCGTCTGATCCATACGACATACACACACGTACACGCACACGTACACGTACACACACATGCCGGTCATTTATCAGTATCGACATTAATACCGCCGATCTATGTGTGTGTATATGTACGTGATTTTATTTACCGAAGCCGTTTAACGAGAGAAAGGCGATCACATTTCATCTCATTAGTCGGCACTCGGTTACATCAATGTATAAACTATCGGGACTCGTCAATAATCCCAGAAAGCGGTTCCGAGCAACGTTAATTAGCGTCGTTTTTTTTTTTTTTGTTTCTTTCTTTTCTATTCCCGTGAAAGTCCTTTCCCCGCTGAATCGTCGGCGATATTGCCGCGACATGAAGCGTGTATATAATTTTCGATCTTTCAATCGCGAATTCTCGCGCGCGCGAATTTGGACAGTCGTGACCTTAATACCTCGTCGAACGAAATTTCCCACCGAGCGCGAACGATAAAGCGACGCTATCGATCACACGGGGACGCGCTCATTAGGCACATTTGCTGATCATCCGGACACGCGAACGTTAGGATGATGAATCGATCGGGCAGCCCGCGATATCTCCGGGGAAACGACATACCTGAAAGTACGAACGCCGATGCGCTTCTCCTCGATAAGTCAAGTCCTCGTCTGGTCGATCTCACGAAGCAAGTGCACGATCGCGCGAAAATTTCCCCTTATAAAACAAAATTAATTAAATGTCCTGCGCGAAATTCGAGCGTGCGATCAATATTATTGTAAAAAATTGCTAATTAATTGTTTAATTAATAATTTTGTTTCCAATTTTACGGTTTTATTTCCATAGCGAGTGACTTTTCCACACGCGTGGACGTCGGACGTTCAAAAATCGATCGATAATTGAGACACGCGACAGGGACGACGAAATGTATACGAAACGTCATCAAGTACGTGAGAGATGTTGATCGTTCTTTTGAACGAGGAATTCAGCGCGTGTTTGCGGGCGGTTTTTCTCCTCCCCGCGCGTATATATGTCGCACGTCGATCTAAACGATTGTGACAGAGGATTACAACAGAGAGAAAGAGAGAGAATCTGGCAAAGAAATCGGAGAAAACTCGCTCGCGGTGATTTCTTCCGCGCGCGCAACGCCTGCGCGGGAAAGATGTGGAACAATATAATGGCAAGGGCTCGTAATGTATAACCGTATTTGTTGTGACACACGAGCGAGAGTCTGGATAAAATCGCCACTTTTTTTTCTTCATCCCCGACGGCGATCGTGATTAAGATTCCCGGCGTATATCCGCCTTGTTCTCGATTTCCTAGAAGAGACTCGGTCCTGTGCCGAGTCGCGTACCATCCGCTTGTCGGTTTCTCTTATCGCGCACTCGAAATTAATTTCGTAACTGCAACTTATCGCGTAACGTAAAACAAAGTTTATATTCCACAAACGAATTAAAAAATAACAAATTGCAGATGCAAAATTCCGATTTTACAACAGATACAACGGTCCGATTTTTAATTAAAGAATTTCAAAAAAAAAAAAAAATTAACGCGTGACCAACAAACCACTCTGTATAATTCACGCGTGTATTTCGCAAAGTGACTTTTGAACAGCCGACTGTGTATTCATCTCAGAGAATAACGCGAGTAATTACGATCGGCGGGGATTCATTAAAGCCTGGCAGCTCATTCGTCTTTATCGATGACATAAGAGAACTTTTATAGCCAGAGAGAGGAAGATTCCGCGGCGTCCTTCCACACATACACTCCTCTCGCAGGTATCTCCTGTGCGTATCTTCCATTAAAAATCCGCGTTGCGTGCCGATCGACCGGTGAAACGACGCGGCGTAAATTGCAGCTACTTACGGGGAACGAAAGCAACCGCCGACAAAGAATTCGCTCGCGAAATAGACACGGCGGAAAATAAAATCGCCGGGATCGACGAAACTACCATCGTTTATCGGGGTGTGCGCGTGTTAATTTGCCGATCGTTTTCGAAAAAAACCAAAAAGCGCTCACACGCGAATTGCGTGGTCTCGAGAGCGCGACAACGCGACTTCGACGCGAGTTCTTCGTCGTCGTCCGCCTCCTTCGAGATCAACGTGGTTGAGAAATACGCACGGAATAGTAATTCTGTCTCCACTCCGAAAGAATAGATAAATATCTTTTTGTTTATTCTAACGGCGCGCAAACACCGCGCGCGCGCGTGCGCCGCGATCTCATCTAATCTCTGAGAAACCGCGGGTTCACAATCTGTGCGCTCTGTTTCGTCACGTTCCGTCGTTTGAATTAGATTTCTATTTTCGTTGCGTTCTGTCATCTCGTGTCTCTACGCGCTTTTCATAAATTTCTTCAAAGCGTAACGTTTATTTGTTTCGCAATTTTCTGCCCGCGTCAAGCCCCAACGAACGATAAATCACCGCGTACTCCTTGTTATTAACCGACAATTGTATTACGCAGACGGCGCGTGTACACGCGCACACACACGCGCGCGCGGCATCGTTCGATAATAAATATACGAATAAGAATGTAAATATTCAATGAGACGTGTAATTTATACGCCGCGCGCCTCAACAGCTAATTGCGGATGATGTTACGCTAATGACAGCGCGGCTCGCGGCTCACTGTTTTCCTCTCATTATCATCCTAAATGCAAGTACAAAATCATCGCGGAGGGATACATCCACGCGGCCTGAGAAGATTCCCAACTGTCACGAATCCGTTATACCGATGATCGAGGCAAACAATTTTTCTCCACCCGCCCGGGACCTTTTACTTCGTTACCGACCTCCGGCCTTTACCTATTTACCATCTATCGCCGCGTGCAAATTCCCGCGCGGATTCACTGACGTGAGGTTTCAACGCGCGGATTCCGTTTGATTTTGATTTCATCCGCCGCCGCGCCGTTTCGCGGCTCGACAAAGGAAAATCATTTCCGAAATCAAAACCGCCCTGCTTTAAAATTGTCAGCTTTGAAACAACAAGTCGGGAGGATGATATGTTTTAAAAATCTCGTCGAGGATCTTATTATTGAGATTTTGCAAGTGCGTTGCAAGAGAATTTGTTGCGAATTTTTGTGCCGAGATAATATCCGACGGACGTTGAAAATCCCCGAGAGAAGAAAAAGGTCATCGCGCTGACGAGAACGTTTGTTTTGTTTTCTGATTTCAGACGAACATGCACGCGTCGTTCCCGTACGACGGCGGACGCAGCAGCGGCGGAGGCGGTGGTGGCGGAGGTGGCGGCGGCGGCGGGGGTGGCGGCGGCGGAAGGGGTGTCGAGTATGGCGCCGTACGCCGTCCCGACGCCCTCCTACCGCCTCCGGGCCTCGACCAAACCGACCTCGTTCTGCACAGCAGCCTCGTTGACGACCCCCAGGTGAGCGACGATGTACGTAATCGCAACATATTTTCTCTATTATCATCCCTCAACGTCTCTCTCTCTCTGTTTTTGTTTTTCCGACCATTCTCAACTCCGAAGAAAATTTATCTTTTGAAAACGCACTACTTTATTATTATTATTAAAGATTTGCATCGAAATCAGATGTGCTTGGACAGAGATGGGATTAGGTTTTTGATCGCAACACTCGCGGCGTGTCGATAGACTTCGAAACGTAGATAGTCGTCAACATATCAGAGTTAAAAAAAAAAAAAAATCATACAGTCAGGAGGTTAGTCTTGCAGTTAATTTAGCGCGTTCTCGTTGATTCCTTTGATCCGTTTTTATAAATTGCAACAAAAGCATGTCACATGTGAAAAATGTCGACGTAAAACATGTCGGACAATGTTAAAATGCGCGGGACGGAATGTCGCGAAACATGCTTCGCTTTGCTGTGGTCGAGAACACAGTTTTCGACATGTAAAAGAACATTCTTTTCTTTCCGCAAATGGAACATGTTTTGTATTTATCTCCCAGTAGGTTTTTCTGGCGCAGTAGGATTTTGAAAGAAAACACGCGATTTAATGTATATATGTTACGCACAATTATAGTTTATATTGCTTGGCAAATTGCATTGCTACAAGTGAACATTTATACTTTCTATTTTTTCAGAACACAAACGTGGACGATGGAGGGTTTATGAACGACCTGCCGCTATTAAAAAGTGAGTGAATCTGAGCGTTGTATGTATTTTACTTTTTAAGAAAAAAAAACATTTAATTATTCAACATATTGCTCGCTGCGGCTATTTCGATTTATCGCACGTAAAGAATATTGCGAAATAACGTTGTGCCATGGGTTTACGCTCGCAGCTTTTACAACAACCGCGTTATCGCGCGAGGTTTTCGGGCCTTTATAGTTACGCGGCGCGCAAGGTTTCGATACCGATCCCGCTTTCCGATCGCGCGATATCTCGTTTGATTTGAAATTTATTTCGCGAGTAAATTTGCACGTAGTGCGCAGAGGCGTAAAACGCGCCTTACCGATAAATACAACGCGCGCCCGACTCGAAATAGCAGATATAATCCTTTCCCCTTTTTCCCCCGATATATAAAACGGTACGACCGGAAATATAAAGTAAAACGCACCGAGAGACGACTTGTGTCGTCTTTAATTAGAATTTATCTCCTCTCTCTTGCCGCGCGTCGCCGTCAAAAAAAAGGCGCGTCCCGAATTTTTTCTCACCATTTGTGAAAATAAATTTAAGGTCGAAAACGCGGTGTGCGCTCGCGTAAAATTGACGTGGTGCTGCTCGCGTTCTCGCACCACTCATTTTTCTACCGATCGCAATAGAGATCGCAAAAACCCGCGGCGTTTCTGTCCGAGGAAGACACCGCGCGACTTGCTCCGCGGTATAAATTTATTGCTTCTAATTTGCTTAGCTGTCTTTGAAAAAAAATTTCAGTTCTTTGTACAAGGATTGTAGTAGTGGAAAGGCGAAGGAAATTTAATAAAGTAATTTTACTCGCAATTACTTTTACTGATTTAACTAATTTCTGACAAGATGAAAAAAAAAACAAATTTCTTATTCACCAGGTGTATCTAATAATCTCTTTGATAAGAACAATTAAACAATAGAAATTAAATAATAATTTTATTATTTTATTACATTATTGTAAAATTGTTTTATATTACTTTATTATTTTCTCATTTAATAAATTAGTTTCTTCAGTTTTGTCGGACATCCAAACGAGCTATCAATCAAATAACTTGTCTCATTCGCAAACGAGCGGTTGAAAGTATAATTTAGACGATGTTCGAGATTGACGTATAGAAAAATTCCTACACACAACCGATACGCGTTCGCGCGCGCGCGCGCGCAATTGCGTAACTCCGAGCGAGTTTACCCGGTAAAGCCCGTCGGAGGAGGAGGAGGAGGATGTGTTACGGATCGGTGACAGGTTATAAGGAAACTTGCGCGCACACGTTCAATTCCGCGAGCGATACGCCTCCCGTCGTCGGCGTGTCAATGCGAGATCGAATCGCGGCCAAGCGGTCTCTCTTGCGAAAGTATCACGCTCGTAGCTCGTAGACGAGCGATACTCGGAGGTATCTCGCGAGAAAAAGATAGAGAGAGAGAGAGAGAAAGAGAGAGAGATACTTCTTGCCGCGCGGAGGTTACACCTCCCATAACGGCTTTGAAATATGTAACTTTCGAACTTATGAATCAATGACGAAATCCGTATCGCTTCGCTACCGCGCGCGGAGGAGGTAGCGAGTAATTTTCGTCACTTCAACCGACGTATGTCAGAAACTCTGCGCACTTTCTCTCGATTGCGCACATCCAGTCAGCGGAGAGCAAGACGATTAATCTGATTTTATAGAACAATTTATATAAATTGTATACACACGCACACACACACACACCCAAATCTCCCGGTCTTCAATCATAAAAACCTTGTCGCTATTGTATGGCCAGAAAAATTTGCTGAACTTTTTGTACCATTAACAAAACTTTTTGCTGATGAAACAAGAAATTTAATAGGTTTAGCAAATTTTTTTCTCGCGATATGTTAATTAATCTTCTTGCTATTCTGGCAAACCTTTTTTTTTCGTGTGTAACAAAAATAACAAGGAGCCAATAAGAGCTTAACCGCTGAATGTACGTGAGAAATATTGTTTTTAGCGCGTGAATTAGTTACGCGTTTTAACTTGAATTAAAATTCAATTGGGAAAAATCTATCTATCGGACGCTTAAAATTTGCAAACACAACTTCCTTCAGTCTCCCAGTCATTTCATAGATAGATCGCGACATTTCGGTGATTGAGTGCATTTGCATAAAATTGCAGGTAATTTTGCGAGGAAGCGTGAAACTATCCCCCCGCGGCGAAAACTCTATAATCATAACGTTGAAACAAATCTGGTAGCATAGTAGCGCGCGCGCGCGCGAGCGGGGAATCCGGTTACATCGATATAGTGATTTGGCGACGTAGTTCGTAGGAAACGTGGAAGGAAACAACCATTTTCGGCCCGCAAACGTATTACGCGCGACTCCGAACCCTCGTCCGTTTTTCACGAGACGTAATTCTCTCCTCGGATCGTCGCCGTCGCACAATGGGGGTCTCGAAAAACTTACCGGGTCGCTCTCTCGGAGTCGCGCGCGCGCGCGTTGCACACACACACACGCTGTGTGTGCGAGCAGAGGAGAGGAGGTGCGAAGAAGAAAAAAAAAGTACAGTGTGCGTGCCCGCGGGCGGATCGGATTTCGCTCATTGTCATTGTAATTTCTTGGCGGGGTGTAGTTTTCGGGGCGTTTCCTCACCACAGGGGTATTACCTACAGATGGCTGTTTGTTCGAATGTCACCGAGGGTTATTATATGCCTCGTTACTTCGTCTCGTGACGGCTTATTTGACCAGTCTCTTTCTCTTGCTGTCTTTCTTCCTCCTCTTTTTCTTGCTCGCTCTCGCGCGCAAAGCGTTCGCTTGTCTCTCGACCCGCGTGTGTTCCTTCTTTTCTGAATTTTTTTTTACTTTCCGGCATTGCAAAGTACGATTGATATTTTGTGAAAATATTTAGTAAATATTTAAAATTTATATTTAATAGTTTTTTTCTTTATATCTTGATATCTTCTTTGTTATCTGTTTTCTACAAAAAAAATTTGTTGGTCTTTAAAAATTTTTTTGTTAGCGAAGAGACTATAGACACATGAAAGTCGCGCACTTGCTTCTGTCGCATATCGTTTCGATCGGCGAGAGCAACTACACACAGCGATATATATCGATGTAAGCGCGTTCCGCTTCTCTCTCTTTCTCTCTCGGAGAGAAGCCGGTTATACAATTATCGCTTACCTTGGCTCCGTCACTCGACGACGAACGACGGGTGTGCTCCAGTTAAACTTCGCCGCGGATAGTATCGAGGACAAACGGATTCTTTTATAAAGAAAAAAAACACGACGAGAGACGATGCTGTGCCGTGTGTGTGTGTGCAAATTTTGAGCGCGGTTAAATTAGCGGCTATTAAAAGATCGTTTCGTTCGCGAGTCGTAGTTTAAAAAAAAAAAAAACAAAAAAACAAAACAAAACAAAACAAAACTATTTAAAAACCCGTAAATTTTTATTCGCAATAAAATTTTCACACAGTACATATGTACGATTCGCGCGCAACGATCGATAACAATTCCGTTGCCCCTCCGGTCGGAGGGATTGTAGCGACTTTATTTCAGTTTCACCGATTGAAACAAGTATCTATGTTTGTTTCATATCAACGAGAACAATTATGGCTACGTGCACAACAAACTGGGGTCGGGAACAATTGGAGAACTATAAACCTGATATTCGTATTTTTTTTTTGTTTTGTTTTTGGAGAAAAACAAGTGTTTCGCAAACTGCGCGTTGCAGTTGTAAAGAGAAAGTCGAGGCAAATAATCTATATTGTTCGAAAACCCACGTTGGTTGCATTTTTTTTTTTTTTTTTTTGTTATTTCGTATTATTCGCAATCTTTACGTAAACAAAAAAAGAAGAAATATACTTTTTCAATTAAACCGACCCTCCCGGAACCGAATTTAACTTGAAATGTCGGGCGCGTGAAACTTGGTGACAAAACTTCGTTGTCGATTCTTAACCCTCTCGAAGAGGTGCGACGAACGCACCTTTTTCACTTTGTTCGAACAACGAGAAACGACCATTCTCGGCGCGTGGAAAAAGGGGGCGGCCCGCCATCTTCGTACAAAGGCAAAAGCCTCCTAAAATCAACCCCTAATGAAATTAACGATCACCACGGTTGTGCTCCTCTCTCTTTCTCTCGGTAGAGTTTGCCCCGGGGGCCAGGTGGAATCCCCGGCGAAAGAGCCCCCTTTTAGGGGCCGAAAAGTCACACCCCAGTCGACACCGGCTAACCAATCAAGGTCGAAGAAGTGAGCGAAGTTGTCGCGGCGCGTCGATTGGTTAAGTTTCCGGCGCGTTGATTGCCCAGGAAATTGTGCGTGTCCAGGACGACGACGACGACGACGACGACGACGATGACGCGCGTGTGTAAAAGCGCCCTGGCTTCTGCGCTCAAGGCTATTCGCAGATGTGTATTGTGTATAGCGGCGCGCAGTCACGTATGATAATCATATACGATAATAATTGTCACATGTTGACGCGCGTGCCCCGCCATTGAGAGAGCCGTTTTTACGCCTAAGAGAGGCTCTTCTCCGCGCGCGCGCGAACTTTCGCGCTTCATTGCAATAATATCTACGAACGCACAAAGCGTTAAATGACGTGTGCGTAAACACGAGAGAACACTGATCGATCGCGATGTGAACAAAGTTCGTGGACGAGAAGGTGCTCATTCGCAAAAAAAAGCCGGAACAAACGTCAGTCGGCTCTTTGTTTGTTTTGACTATAATTGATTTATTGTTCGAGTTCTTCTCTTTTTCAAAGATTACGTAAGATCGCGATTCGATTCGCGAGACAAGTCGTCCGTCCGTGCGAAACTCACCGTAATGTAAACGCACACTGGACTTCACGTGCGACTTACACACCGTGGTGGATGTTGAATTTATCGCGTATCGATGTACACCTGTGTGTAAAATAATTTGTATTATGTAACCCGCGTATCATAAATCACGGCTGTAATAAATGCGCGTGCGGAGAAGAGTACGCTTTTCTCTTTCTCTCTTTCTCTCTCTCTCTCTCTCTCTCTCTCTCTCTCTCTCTCTCTCTCTCTCTCTCTCTCTC